AAAGTAGTAGAGGGTCTGTTCCTAAACTTCTATTACCTTCATGAAATTTTCATAGGAGATGTATAGACTACAACTGGGAAATCTCTCAGTAGGATTTGGAGGAGATAATCCTGTCCTCAGGTTTCTCCAGTTTTCTGGAAGATACAGAACACATTTTTCCAAAAGTATTGCAGATACAGACAGGAAACAGCACGTGGTTTGCGGTTCCAAGTACTGCCACTTTAGATGTGTAGGGAGCAGAATGGGGCTGGGGAAGGATCAGGTTCCAGGACTTACCAGAGGGCAGGAGTGATCTGGGTTCAAAGAATGAGGTTCAGAACATGCCCCTAATGCCACAGCATCATTTGGTGAAGATGGAAACCACTCAGCGTCTCAGCAGACATCAAGTAAGCTCCTACCATTTGGCAGGGGGCAGACTTGACCCTGAGTCTAGTTCTGAGCAAGACAGAGAAGGTTTCTGCCCTCATGGTGCTCACAGATTGGAGAAGTCAGATGTGAATCCAGCAATACTGGGTGTGATAAAAGCCATGGTATGGGAAGCACAGGGCGGTTTGGCAGAGACTGTGTACACCTACGGCTGTGCCTGCAAATGTGTCAGGGGCCAGAGGGGCCTAATAAGACCCCAAAGCCCAGACAGGCCACTGGATTCTGGGAAAGTGAGTGGAGTGATTGAGAAGGGGAGTGAAGCTAAATATAGAGCATAAAAGTGAACAGACAGAAGAGAGAGAAGAGAACTGAGAAAATTAAGTTGGGGCTGGCATAGCATAGATGAGGAAAGTGATTGCCCTAACCCAGCATGAGACTTTTCTGAGTCAGAAATGTGGAAGTATAGGGAACTCCCTCAACCATCACCTTCTATCTGAACTGGAAATTTCTTTTTTTAAGAATTATGAAGGTCATGGTCCTAGTAGGGAGAAGGAAAGTGAAAGTGAGGAAAGCAAGGAGAACTATGAAGAAAAACCAAATGCCCATTTATGTGTCTGAGTAAGTTAGATCAGCCACCAGGGTGTGGACCTAAAGTTTTCCAAACTGTCCATAGTTTGAACCTTAAGCTCTTCACACAGAAATAGTACCCGTTCTCTAAATTTCCAGCCCAGTGGGGAACAATTTTGCCAATCACAGAGGAGGAGAGGAGCTGAGGGAAGAGAAGGAGCTGAGACAAGACAGGGACAACTCCTCATTTAGCCCTTAAGTGGCATCAGTGTCAAAGTCAGTGGACAGAATTTGAGTTCCTTGGGTTGTGAATGTGAGTGGGGTGTTGGAGTATTCAGGGTCCCTACCAGAAGGTTGAGAATGGGATGGGGATATGTGAGGAGACACACATGGGCTGCCTCAACCAGGATTTGGGATCTCCTGTGGTTGGGCTGCTCATATGAGACCCGCTGCAGAGCCTCGGGAATGTTCTGGATGGACAGGACATACACATTCCTCTAGCTCAGCAACATCTTCACTGACTTTTATTTTTTGTAATATTATTGTAAAAAGTTATAAAAATGAAATAACCTCATGTAATATCTAATGTGGAAAACATAAAGCTATTAAAAAATGAGCACTAACATAAAGCAGCCAGAAATAGTCATTGTTTATATTTTGCTGTATTTAGTGTCAGAATTTTTTATTTTCCATAAACCCACATGCATTCATACAGTTGAACAAAGATACACAACACTGCAAATGTAATTAATACCACTGACTTGTACACTTCAAAAATTAAGTGGTAAATTTTTTGTTATATTACAGTAAAAATATATTTTAAAAATGCAGGCCTCAAACAATAGGAACAACATTATTTTACATTCATAATAGCTGTGCATCCGTATTTTCCTTCATTAAGTAGTAGATAATAACAACAATAAACAAACATAGAGAAAGAGATTGGATTGGTGGTTACCAGAGGGGAAGGGAGGAGGGAGGAGGGCAAAAGGGATAATTCGGCACATGTGTGTGGTGATGGGTTGTAATTAGTATTTGGGTGGTGAACATGATGTAATCTATGCAGAAATAGAAGTATAATGATGTACACCTGAAATTTATACAATGTTATAAACCAATGTTACTGCAATAAACATAATAGCTGTGCATCATAGAGCCCGTTTCCTCATTCAGGTTTGACCTATTTAATTGTGAGTCGTCCTGGAGTTATCTCTAGACTCTTCCACCATTGAAATCAGCAGTAACATGAAGCCACCTCAAATGTGCATACCTGACAGACCCAGGACATGTCATTCTCTCCTGCCAGTTTGAAAACTTTGTCACCTTCTAATGACTGGCTGGACAATTTCTGTCTTACAAGTTTCCAAATACCTCTGGAATTCTTGCTAACCTTACTTGGATTTCTTGAACACCATGCAAGTGTCACCTATCACCTGCCTCACATATCTTGATATTATGGACAATGCGTCCTATCAAGAAATGGAGTTTGCTCCCCAATTTACTCAATCTATTGCAGCCCTTCTGAAATGTTATGTTGTCTTCTCTGCTGCTGGAGACAGCTCTCTACTATCCCAGACCCACTCAACACAGACGTGCCACCCTGCTGGTCACCCTGAAATCAAGAAGACCAGGCTGCAGAAGAGAAGGAGGGTTGGGAGCCTGGAGACCCGGGCTCTGGGTGGGATGCAGAAACATCATTTCTGGGTTACTGTAATTAACTTTTTGGGCATCAGTTTCTTTATTTGAAGAATGGAACGCTGTACTAGGTGCTCTTTATGTCTCCTTTCACTCCTGACATTTTACAGCTTAATGATCTGCTTTTTCTCAACACTGGCTGATTGCTCACCTTGCCTGGATCATGTACTCCTAAACCCTCCTTAAAACTCACTTCCTGTTTTAAATCACTAGATAAACCTGTTTCTGTGCATTGAATGAGTAAAGACAACAAAATAATCAGGTTTAAGTATGTAGGAGTGACCTTTTTGGGAATAAAGAGGAACCTTGTGTGCAGGGTCCTCAAGATCAGAGGTGGCTTGGAGAAGGCACCATAGAAACTCAGGCATGACTCAGTCCAGTGCCAGAGGAGAGCCCTGCTCCAGGTGTGGCTGTCCAAAGTGACAGGCTCTGGGTTCATTATACAACAGCCGTTGCCATTCCAGGGATGTCCCCTAATGTAATCACACACACAGTCATGGAAGCACACAGTACCAGGACTAGGTAGATGGTGTCTACACCAACTCCTCTCTGTCTACAGGTCCTACTCATGAGAGAAGAGCAGGCAATGGAACAGAGTCACCCAATGTCATACATAGTCAGGAGTAGACTTAAAAGTGATTTAATGGAGGCAGAGCAGGAAACACGTATTTCTTCCCATCCAGATTGCCTCTTCAGATGAACCCTGAGTAGCTGAAGACCAACAAAGCCACCAAGTCTCTCTACTTAGGGACCCTCCAAAGTATATGTAAGGGAAAGCTTCATAGCATATGTATTTAGATACAAATAAGAAAGAAACTGTGACTCAGGGTGAGAACATACTGATTACAAGGTCTATAGACAATTAAGACACAGAAACAGCAGGGAAGAAGGTGTTCAGCATCTGGTGGTCAGCTCCTGAAGGGCATGCCTATGGACCACATTACTTCTGCTTGGTCTTCTGCCAGGCTGGGCCTGGAGTAATGATAGGGATGTACGGCTCTGGAACCTTAGGGTGACTTGGCTCTGGTACTTTGGTGTCGCCAGCTTGAGGGACCTTGGTGTTGCCAGGCTGAGGGACGTTGCTGTCACCAGGCAGAGGGACTTCGGTGTTGCCAGGCCAAGGGACTTTGCTGTCGCCAGGCAGAGGGACTTTGGTGTTGCCAGGCTGAGTGACCTTGGTGTGGCATGGCTCCTTGGTTTAGGGACACATGGTTCTTGGGGTGGAGGCTGGCAGGGCTGTTTCACCTGTTGCTCTTGAGGTGGGAGGGGTGGGGTGCAGAGCTGCTTCTGCTGGTAGGAACTCATGCTTCAAAGGAGGCTGGATCTAGAGACAGAAAAGCCCAGTGGTTTGGTGAAACAAGGAAGAAGCCAAATTTAATGCCAAATATGTCTCATTCCATGCCCCTACAGAAGCGAGAGCCTCTCTTCTCTTCTTTCTGTTTCCTTGAATTTGAGATCAAAGGAAACTTTGGTGATTCCTGTGTACTTTCAAGAGGAAAGGCTTAAAGGTGATTTATTCTGCTCTGCATGAGCAGAGTATTTCTCTATGCTTCTTTTCTTCCTGGTGATTCTGAAAACCTACATCAGCAGTCAATACAATGGCTGGCTCCTAGGATTGGTTGAGGCCCCAGGTTTTTGATAATGTGAAAAGGTGATAAAGTGAAAAGTCTGGAGTCTACCCTCTCACATCCACCACACAGAGTGCCTTATCTCTCAAAGGAAAACTGCAAAAACTTGCCCTGAACCCACGATATTCCACCCCTGAGCCTCTGTTCATATTGTCCTCTCTGTACATCCTTTCTGGAAGACTTCGCATTCCGTGGCTGCTTGTCCACACATGCTCACCCACCATGGCTCTCCTCCCAGACACTCTGCCAGATTCCAAGTTGTCTTTCTCATTTTGTCACAGCACAATACCTGCCTTGTCCTCTCTACTAATCACTTCCCATGCAGTATGTTTGCAAATTACACCCACATATTACGTTCTCTGATGGATCATAGGGTCATAGGGTCATGGAGTAGAGAAGAATTTAACTTTTGATCACTCAAATTCCCAGTGCAATGCCTTTGATATGAAAATTCTCAATAATGGTCAGAGGGAGAATTCAAATGTCACTAAAAATGCCTTGAACGTAGAGTCTAATCCATATCTGCCTGTTAATTTAATAGCTATCTTTACAGAAATCATTCCCCTTCTCTGACCTGAAGTTCCACAGCTGTAATCTAAGTGGGAAGTCAAAAAGATCTGCTTTAGTACCCTTAAGCCCAAACTGCAATTACATTTAAAATAAATATATCTTTAGAATGGCCAGAGGTCCCAATCAGATAAAATACCATTCGGTGACTATTAAGTTTCAAGTGGGGAAACTCACTTGGTGCGCAGAAAAGTTCCAGCTGTCTGGCCTCTTGGGTCTGGTGTGGAGTCTCTGGCCAGTTGGCATTTTATACAACATATGAGTCCTACCTTAAGGAAGTGGGATTTTTGGGGCTACGCTGTTTTCATTCCAGCTTCTGGAAAGAAAATCTGTGGCTTAACATTTTTTTGAGACTTACTGTTTGACAATGGTATCACCCGGGCCTGTCCTCACTGTCCACCCTTTGTGGTAAGGTACCTACTGGCAACAGGATTCTTGGGTGGTGATGAGTTAAATCAGGGGGAACTTCTGGGCTTCTGGGATGAGAAACAGCCATGCCTCTTGGATAGGGCCTTAATCTTTAGCTCAGAGTAATTCTGTTGAGCATCTTAATTTCCTGAGTGGATGTGGAGATGAACAGTAGGCACTACTAGTTCTTCTGGGAAGCCATGGGGAGGGTGGCAGTAAATGAATCATCTGATATTCCATCTTTCAGTGGATCTAGACCTGGGAGGGGAAAGGGAAGACTAAAATGCCTACTTTAGAAATGAGCTGGGCCGGCCCCGTGGCTTAGCGGTTAAGTGTGCACGCTCCCCTACTGGCGGCCCGGGTTCAGATCCCGGGTGCACACCGATACACCACTTCTCCAGCCATGCCAAGGCCGTTTCTCACATACAGCAACTAGAAGGATGTGCAACTATGACATACAACTATCTACTGGGGCTTTGGGGGGAAAAAAAAAGGAGGAGGATTGGCAATAGATGTTAGCTCAGAGCCGGTCTTCCTCAGCAAAAAGAGGAGGATTAGCATGGATGTTAGCTTAGGGCTGACCTTCCTCACAAACAAAAAGAAAAAAAAAGAAATGAGCTGTTTTTATTCTGGAGGAAGCCTTAAGATATCCTAGTGACCAGGTATAGTAAGTGTCAATGGAAATGGTCAGACAGGATCTGTCTGACATGATGGCACAGCACTGAAGATCCTGTATCTCTGAGGTGTTCTTTTTCTGGGGGCAACACAGGAACAGGAGAGCTCTGATTCTCTGAGTTTATGCACCAGCCATATCCTTTGATCATGATAAAATGAAACAGAGGTCACTAACCCAGAGTTGACCTTGACACACAATCTCTTACTAGGCGTGGCCCTTGGGAAATCCAAAGATCCTTAAAACTGAGGTATGTAGATGGCTCATCCCTTCCCACTGCTCTGCCTCTGTGTTACTTCCCATGAACCTGAGTCCAGGCACAGCCACCATCATGGGCTCCTTCTGTCAATGGGCAATTGTTGTTTTTTCTAATCAATGCATATGTTCATGGAAGGGAGCAATGGAGGAAGGGAGATAACTATAAGACAGTTTCTTGAAAATGATTCACTACCTTGTGACAAGCTCATGGTAGGAGCTGAGAAAACGATGGGGGCTTACCACCCTCTTTCCTGCTTCCTTCCCCACCCATCTCCTTCCCTGTCTGCTAGTGTTTGACCAGTGCCTCCCTCTGGAGTGGGGCCAGCAACACTGTCACACCTAAGCTCTAGTCTCTGATATCACGTTAGCTCTCCTCTCAGGTTGGGTCCAGGACCCTCTCCTCACCAAAACCACCTCTCAGGAATCCCCAACACAGGGCGCTTCGACCAGACCCTGATGCTCTGCCTGGGATAATCTCCAGGGGAAACTGCTTCTTGATCCTCTGTCCTCCATCTGACCCAAATTTTCTCTAAGGCCCAGGCTGACCTGAAACTCAGCTTGGAATCTCTGTCTCCCTTTTGTCCTCTCATGATTCTGGACCTTGGTTCTAGAAGAAATTATTTTCTCATTTCCTGTGTTCCTTCCCAGGGTTCGCTCTCTCCTGCCCTGCCCTAACTGGTGCCTCATTCTTGCCAACAAAAGCCTCTTTGGCATCAGCCTCAAGAACTTCTAATTTTACCCCAACCCTGTTGCTGTTTGTTTGGTCAAGCATACTCAGTGGCTGGGTGTCAAGGATATTTCTGCCTTTCTGAAAATCTTGGTTTCTTCACCAGCAGCCCTGGGTCTGCTGAGGAATCTCTCCTCAGTTTCTGAGAGGGTAAACTGAGTGGATTCTGATGATGAGTCCTATCATGGTCTTTCCCACTAGCCCCTTTCTCTGGTGGCAGGAGGCTGCTGCTCTTTCCACTTCAGCAGCCTGGGCCTTGCTTGGGACATGTTGGTTGATGATATTGGGTACATCTTATACACTTTCCAAATCTTCTGGGTCTTGGTCTTTTGCCAGCCATGACTGTATGGACCATACTCACACATTCACATTCCCTTGAACTCTGTCTCTCCCTTTGTGACCGAGGGCTTCTCTGATGCCACCATTTGAGATGCCTATGGGAATCTTGAATGCACTTGCGCACGTGCAAGCTTGAAGTACAGGATACTTAATGTCCAAGTGCTGCCCAATTTGCCAACAGAAGCCTGGAACTGATAGAAAATATTCTCTTCTTTCATCCCAAGGGAAAAACTTTCTGGGACACTTATCTTATATCTTCTCAGGAAGTCTTATGTGATCAAGATACAGTTGCCCTTGGTGGTTGCCTACTTTGTACCATATTCATGTATTTATTTTTCCTTTTGCTCAGTTCCTTTCCTACTTATTCCTCATTCTCTTCCTTAGAATTGCATTCCCAAATAGACTACCTATGTGTAAGACTTTGTTTTAGCCTCTGTTTTGGGGGAGCCCAGGCTAACAGTTATCAAACACATGCTCTATTTGGGATGCAGAAAGACAAACACAATTGCCCATTGCTGTAAATAAATTTCTAGGCCAGAGTCAGATAAAAATCATCTGATGAGTCAGTGTAAGATATTTGGAATTGAGCTAAGTTCCTTCTCTGGAGGTTCTGAAACTTGGCTTTCCAATAGAGTAGCATGTTGTGGGTCCCCAAGACCACCCTCGAATTAAATGATTTGCTAGAAGCACTCATAGAACTGAAAAAAAAAGCCACTATACTCACACTTACAGTTTATTACAGTGAAAGGATACAGATTAAAATCAGCAAAAGGAAACGGGTACATACATTGGAGTCCAAAAGAATCCGGGCACGAGCTTCCAGTTGTTATTTCCCCAGTGGAAGCAGATGGACAGCACTTAATTCTCCCAACAATGATGTATGACAGCACATACAATGTTTTGCCAACCAGGGAAGCTCACTCAAGCTTTGAAGTCTGAGGTTCCTCCCGGGAGTCAGTTACATTGGCATGGAGTATCCAAGTGACTGACCTTAAGTACTCATTTTGTACTCCCTCCAGAGGTCAAACTGATACAGGTTGGATGAAGACCCCAGGCAAACAAAAACAGACATTCACCATGAATTATATTGACAGCATAAACTATTTGGGAAGGCCCAAGTTTTCAGATATACAAAGACATTGTTATCTGGCAGAATATTCCAAAGGTCCAGAGGTTATCTCCCAGGATATAGCAATAGTATAAGTATAAATATACCTAACAATTGGAGGAGCCAGTACAGGATAGAGCAATGACTAATCCATTCTATAAAGCCATTATATAAATATTAATACTTTTTTACTAATGATTACTTGTTTTCCCCTTCATGTACTACTATTTGTACCTTACGATAAATTTGTACAAAATACTTGGCATAGAAATTACTAGATGGCTAAATCCAGTTCTTCTTCAGACTAGTCATTTTCCATCAGTATTAAATCTTGCAGAGGTTTTAACTCAATGTCCCAATATAGTTCATCATTAGTGTCAGTATTATTATGTGACTTATTTACATAAGGTAGTTGAATCTTACCAACAATGCCAGTATTACAGCATGTTGTAGTATGGTTATGGTATCGCATAGTTTCATTAAAGAACAAGTCAATAAATCAAGAATTACAGAGGTATTTGCTATGCTTTCTCAATATAATTAATTTTTGCCAACATGCAAATATTATTATGATAGATGTCATTACAACAGATCATGATTTGATTATTTCTGAGTTCCAAGACAGTTGAGGACAGAGTCATTTACTCTATCTCAGTTCAAAAGCTTGAAGGAGACTGAATTCTATTGTGTACTATCACATAGCCGTGTCCATCTCCCTCCCACAGGGAGGACGTGAGTGTTATTCAAAATAGTCCCTATCCCTGTTTTACACTATAAGTCTTATTCTATTCTGTTCTTGGATTGAGGTCAGTCTTAGTCCATTGACATAAATTACTAGTGCCTCCAGACAACTTCAAGCTTCCACAGGTTTAGAGGTCTGTAAGATCGCCATAGGTGTTCCGCTTGAGCCTCAGGAGCTGAGATGGAGGGCCAATGTTCCATAACTACTTCAGTCTCCACCTGGATTAAAATAATCAATATATCCCATTGGATCATGGTACAAGCCCTTTCCCAATACTGGATCCTAGCATTATCCAGCATTGTTTGCTGAGTCTGCCTAACCCACTTCAATAAAACCTCATCATCTGTCTAGGCAGACCCCCATCTTTTGCCTTCCTCCTAGAAGCAAATTTCCTCTAATATGCTTCTTCTAGTCAATAAATTTTTTACCTCTGAATGCCATTCTTCATTAAAAGCCAATTCAAAGAAATTGAATAGGTAATAAAAAAGTTACCCACAAAAGAAATGCCCAGGCCCAGTTGGCTTCACTGCCAAATTCTACCAAACATTTAAAGAAGAATTAATACCAATTCCTTACAAACTTTTACAAAAAATAGAAGAGGAAGGGACACTTCCAGCTCATATTATGAGCCCAGTATTACCCTGATACCAAAACCAGACAAAGACATCTCAAGAAAAGAAAACTACACAACAAAATTTTTTATGAATATGAATGCAAAAATCACCAACAAAATACTAGTAAACTGACTCCAGCAACATATAAAAAGAATTATACTCCAATATCAAATGGGATATGTCCCAGAAATGCAAGTTTAGTTTAACATCCAAGAATCAATTAATGAAGCATATCATATCGATAGAATAAAAAGCAAAAATTACATGATAATCTAAATAGATGCAGAAAAATCATTTGACAAGATACAACACCCTTTCGTGATAGAAACACTCAAGCAACTAG